GGTAGTTATATCCTCATGTGTAACGTGCTGCCCCCCGGCCAGCACCTTAGTAAATGATCAACTCACCGCTGTGAACCTGCCAACTTGCTATAACAACTCTGCTTTAAAAAAAGTGTTTGTGATCAGGCTTTCTCTTTGTCATCGTATGTGCATGCAGTATGATCAGTTGAACAATAACCATCAATAAAGTTTCACAAGATTTGAAAACAAAGTTTCTGTAGCATTTATATCTAAGGATGATAAATAAATTATCTTTAAAATTGAAACAGAGAGAGAAAGAGACTATATTAATCGATGAAAAATGGGGCAGTAACATATATTTATACTGGTGAGGGAATGAACTGAAATTTATTAAGAGTTCGATCCCCACATTTGTTATGTAAGATATGCAAAACAAGCCTCCTATTAATAAAAAGTAAATTTTGTTCAAACACCGTGATGAAAGCAAATTGAAAAATGTTTACCAAATGTTAGGCTTCCAATTTAAAGTGTGGATGAGACATCTTTTTTGGAATTGCACACACAAAATGTCTAATGTAGAGAATAACAGAATTTATTTGCAATTTTAATTTTCCTGAGATGGCTTTACAGCTCCCACTCTCCAAATGATTATATGGCGTTTTAGTCTATTAAAATTATCTTGAAAGGTTGAGGGTGCAGCCCATATTAGAAAATATTTTGTTTATAAAACTCCTACAGTACTCCTAGTAGTCATTTTAAAATGTATGTCTGAAATAGTTATGTAAGAAAAGCATTTGAAATTTTTTTACAATATATATTGGGAATGTTTTCACTTATATAAATAACTACTGATAATATGACTTATGAAAAAATTATTACTACCATATGTGGAATATAGTGACTTCTAAACAGATTTAAAAAAAAAAAAACAAACCCTACAAACCCAGAAAATGTGTATATCTGTCTTTAGAAATTAGTGTTTATATCACAACCGTGATTTGTGAATAAAGAAAAATGGTTTGTAATATCAAAATAAAAGCTTAGTCTGAAAAGGTACAAATCCATTGGTGTTCCAAGTCATTTTGCTTTCCCTGCTAGCAGTGTGGGTGCCAGGGCTGGTGTGTCCCCAGTGCTCTGTCCCTGGGGCACGGGGCTGTCCCTGCTGGGGCTGGGTGCCCCCGGGTGCCAGCCCTGCCTGTCCGTGTGTCTGTCCCCGTGTCCGTGCGTGCGCCCTCGGCAGCTGCCACCACAGGCAGCCAGCGAGGCTCGGGGTTTGATTCCAAAGATGACAAGTTCCAGCACCAGCTGTGCTTCTCAGGCAACACTGCATGATGCATGGGGATAGCTGGGGTTTGTTCGTAGGGGTGAAAAAGGCATCTTCCAGACTGCAGTTTGCCCTCCCCTGAGCTGTCCCTGCCTGGTGTCTGTTTCTGTGCACACCAGGGAGAGCTGTTCCAGAGGCTCCTCCTGTCGCTGCCGAGCTTGTTGCCCAAGCCACAAGAAAGGTGTCCACGTGCTGTAGTTCTAGACATGCCCATTAGCCCAGCAGGTCCAGATGAATCTGGTGTCGTGCTTTGGCCGTGTCACATGCATGCCAAGAGATTTATGTGACCCTTCTACCTGGGTTCCCATTATACTCTAATTTAGCAGGGGAAGACAAGACAGAGAGAAGGGATTCAACATTGCTTGGGTTGCCGTTTAGCAGGAAGTTTTATCCTACCAAGTGCCTGAATCCTTTCAGGAAGCTAAAGAGAAGAAGCCCTGATATTTGCCAGGAATGGTGGGGAGATATTATGCCGTGCTTAATTGATATCTTTATGTGACATACAAGCACTAAGTGTCCAAGTGCACTGTCCTGCACATCAGGCGTGATGGATGCTTTGCACTGCTTCCCTCGGTGGCTGGGTGGAATGACTGAGGTGGCAATGCTGGGTAAGATTTGGGCTGAAGGCAGGTTAAACACAAGTGGGACACATAGACACACATGGAGAACCTGAAGTGCCACGTAATTTTTACATGGTTGGATTAATCTGCTTTTGTCTGGTATTATCACTTCATGCAGTAGTGCTTCCTCTCTTGGCCAAGTAGCCCACACACGCTAAATTAATAAAAACTTTGCATTTGTTGAGCAATTGGCCAGAGAAGAAGGAGAGCACCATGTGTAACCAAAAGGCAGTCATCTTTGCAGGGTATTTTTATTCCAATTATTTAAAGTTCCTATACAGCTTCAATTGTCTAGCCAAAATTAAATTGAAGCTTTGTCTTAGAGATCCTATTTAAAGATCTAAGATCTAAAAAATCTAAGATCTTAGAGCTGTCCCAGTGTAGAATGTTCTGTACTACTGTGTCCTTGGTCATCTTTTTGGGCATTCAAGTTGTTTATTAACTTCTAATTTGGGTAAAATTTTAAGATCCTTTTTTTAAACTAGAATTTAATTTTCTTTAACTTTCTGGGAACCTTGTCTTCAGTTTGAATTGCTGTCATGTCATATTGCTGTTTCTTGCCTCAAGTGATTTTTTTGCAAGTTTGACATGTTCCTCTTGCCACATTTTTTTCACTTTTACAGTACAGATGCATGAGGAAAAAAGGCTGTGCAAATCATTTCCTCCCTAAAGTAGAGCTGAAATATCATCATTTTGGTAGGTGTAAGGGAGAGAAGAAAAAAGAAGAAAAAAAGTAAAATAAAAAGTAACCTTGTTTCAGTGGGAAGAGAAGATTCGAGTGGGAGGTGAGATCAGAAGGGAGACAATGATTTTGGGAGGTCTTTGAAGAATTTATGAAAGTGTCATCAAAAAGAGTCATTTTCCAGTATTATAAAAGTTTATCTTGTTGCTCCATTTACACCTAAGGGGCATATGCTTCACCTCTCACTAGAACAGGAGCTTTATGCTGAGTCTTTCCAGACTTTCCAGGCAGCTTTCATGCCTCTCCAGCACTTCCCCAGTGCTCTGCATACCAATTATTGTCTCGCAGCACTTCACAAAAAGCACAGTGGCCATGGACTAGGATCAGAGGAAGAGATGGGCAGCATATACCAATATACCATCAACTTGAATCTTTTCCTGAGGTAAGACAGAGATGAGCACGGAGAGGCAAAATATTAGAAGTACTTTCAGATCCAAGAGCTCGTCTTTATTTTCTCACTTGGAAAAGAAAGGTTTTTATTTCATGCTGTGTTTAAGTCTGTAGGTGTATTTCCTGTCTCCACACACAGGATGGGTGCCAGCAGGGCAGTGTGGTGGTAGCAGGGATGTGATTCCCTGAGTGTGGCTGGCTGGGACACGGCTCCTGCTGGCAGCAGGGCAGTGGCACACGCAGGTTGCCCACTTGGGAAGGACAGATTCTTACACTTACATCCATGAAGGGGCCTGGAAACAGCAATGTCACTTGAGGTGTGCAGGCAGGCAGCGATCAGGGCCAGAAGCTCCTGCTCAGCTGCTGTTCAGCTCTCTACAGTAGATGCTGTCACTTCAGATTCCTGTATAATGTCTTGCCTGGGCACTCAGGGTAGGTGACCTTGCTTTGTGTGGCTTGCAGTGCCTGGCAGGGGCAGAAAGAATGAGTTTTGGGTGGAAGGGAAGGTGGAGGTGATTGCCATGCCCACTGACATCATGTTCAAGGCATTCTCAAATGGATGTGGGAGATTGCTTTTTAAAGTCTTCTCTTGGCTCAATTTATACAAGAACTTTTTTCCACATGTAGTTGTCACGAGTATACTGGGTTAGGTTATTCTCAATTCTGTTAAAGACCCTCCATTTCACTTAAATAATTAGTCCTTGAGAAACACTTCTACAATACCCTGCTGGCTGGGACTCTGCTCTGGATCCCAGTTCCACATCACAGTGAATAAAGCCTGCCTCCATGACCCTACTGCTTGGTTAAAGGGGACAGTGGAGTGTCCCTTTCCATCCCCTGACAGACTGGCTCCTCCTAGCTCCTCTTCCAAAAGGGATTTACAGCTGAAAACCCAAACTGGAGAAAAGCTTGTTGTTAAGGTGCTTTAGAGCCCTCCAGCCTTCTTCCTGCTCAGCCCTGCTGGGCTGGGTTTGCTCTCTTAGCTGTGATTTACCCTTGGCTGCCTGGGCAGCCTCTGTGCCTGGCCAATTTAATGATTTCACTCTTTAGCAGCAGGCCTGTGAGTCAGGAGTTCAGAATGTAGGAAAACTGTTAAATGAAACATAAGTGAATGCAAAAATAATCATTTAATGGACATTATGAAAGGACAGTAAACCAAACAGTTCAGTCCAATGGATGATG